TTCTCAGCAATAGGGAGAGCAAAGGTTACTTGCTAATGCAATTATTTAAAATCACTTAACAGAAAGTGGCTAATTTATTTGGTGCTTTGGGCCTGTATTAAGCTATATGTAATTTATAAGAGACTAAAGCAGCCTTTCCCAGCTTAGTGTCATCTAGAGTTTCGGATTTCTAACCCCCACCATCCCCATCCAGACTACAGATGATGGGAGTTGAAGTCAAATGCACCTGAAGGGCCCCAGTTTAAGGAGAGCTGGTTTAAACCCTTTTTAAAAAGCCACGAATTCGATTTGTGTCTCCTATTCAGTCATGGAGAGTCTTGCAGAACACAAATGGCTCTTTCAGAAACAGATTGCTACAGCATTGTGGTGCTATGGGGATGTTTATGCAACTTTTGAATGTGGGGAGGCAAGGTGGAAAAGGAAGAGCTGTGTGACACCTACAAAGGCTACCTCTTTTCCTACAGTCATGCCAAACACGGTAAATTTAACTCCAGAATGTATGCCCCCTTCTTGCAGTGGTCAGTTGTTTGCTTTTGAAAGGAGATAATGTACTATCAGAGCTAATACATGCCCCACCCATGCCTGTACTTGGTGGCTCCCCTCATTGCTTAGGATTTTACTATAGTGGGGTGAACTATAAATGACCTGTTTATTTGAGGTGGGAGGAAATTCAAGTTTCAAGCTGAACTATTAATCCATGATCACTTGCTTCCTTGAAGTTTATTCCCAGAAGAATTGCTAGGAGAGGAGGAACAGGCTTGTTAAATGCAAACTTCATAGTGCACCATCATGTCTCTGAATGCCATTCTCCTTAGCTGTGATCCTTTCCCAGAAGCTTCTTGGTGGCTAACAGCTAGCAACAGGGACCATGTGACAGATAGCCCTGCCCTAATAATTGCACTCCAATTAACTTGTTAGATTAGGATTTTTGAATGTCACTCATGATCATCTGCCCTATTTGCATAAGCAAAATCACTCCATGTTGAGGCATCATTCATGTACATACTAGTTCTCTGGACTGAGTCTTTCAAACTGGTTCCAAATGCATGATTTCTTTAGCCAACTGTGCTTTAGCCAACTGTGGAAAGAGGACACATCCTCTGGTAGTACAATAAAAGTCATTTTCCTTGGAAGTATCTGCTGATATGTAGCACCCTCTACCGACCTTTTATGGAATATTTCCAGGATAAGGAAATTAATTGGCAGACCCTGCCAGAAAGTAGAGGCAATATTTTGGCTTCTGTATTTAGAAGAGTTTTGCTGTTCATTTATATACACCAATTCAATCTAGACATTCTTATAATACCCTCTAATGAAACTGTTTTTCCCCCCGATCCATCACTGCACTAAGTTCCTTCTTGTTGCCTATTAGTCTCCTTGGTTAATCACTTATTCAGTGTAAAACTTAAGGATTTTTAAAAACATCTGTGTATTAAAATAATTTATAACATATTCTGTCAATAAAAGATTTCTTAAGCCATCAGTCATCAATGAAGCTAACCAGAAGTATACCGTATACTAGTTCACAAGTGAGCAATGTTTCTGGAAAATCTCAATTTACCAAAATTTAATATTTTGAGCAAAGTATTGAATGAAATTGGAACTTTCAAATGTGTTTCAAAAAATCAAAAAGACAATGAAAATATTAATAAAAATATAAAGTTAAGGGAGTGTGGGGAAGCAACTGCCAACTGTTTTAAGCTGGGCTACCTCTTTCTTAGGCTTATATGACAATAATAGTCAAGACCTACAGTAATATCTTAAATTTTTGTAAAACTATAGAGTTTGGAGGTGATCATAAATGTAGTCCATTTCATCTTTTGCTAACGCAAAACTGATCCTTACTGCATCTCTAAGAGGTAGCAGTCAGCATCTCTATTGGAAAAAGTTGATGAAGGAAAGAATACCACTTTCAAAGATACTCTTTTCCCCTATGATTTGGTAGAAAAGCTTCATTTTAATGTGAACCCATTGGTCCAATTCCTATCTTTTGGAAGAGCAGAAAATTAATTTGCTCATCATTTCTTTGAAGCCTTTCAAATATCTGAAGATAGCTATCATAATCATTTCTTCTCCAGGCCAAATATACCTAACCTCTTCCCAGGCTTTAGCCTCCAAGTTGCTCTTTATCTTTTCCCTGTCTCTAGAAATGGAGAAATCTCTTCTTCCCACAAAAGAGACAAATTGTGATTGCTTTCTGCTCTCTACAGTGAAAAGGAAAAGTGCTGAGCTTGTAATTCCTGATCACTGCTGCAGATAAATCACTGTAAGGTTCTATTGCTTTCTAATGAGTGAAAGTCTATATATTTATGGGTGTGGTAAAGTATTTTTCCTATACGTTCAGAAATGGAGATTTTAAGTGAAAACTATAAACTTGTCCTGCACGATCATTCACCGGACCAGATGCAAAATACTGGCTATGAACCATGTATATGGTGTACCAAAGATTTGACAAGATTGTCTATTTTACTGTTTCCAGCTATTGACAAAGGAGATTTCTCTTTACTGGGCTTTATTTCTCTTAGGTAGGGAAGAGAGGATTCATTATGAGGAAAATCAGGAACACTACAAAAACAGAGCTTGTAGAACATCCCAGAATCAGTGAAATACCTTATTCCTTTAGCAAGTAATGACAAAAATCTTTGCCCAGGTAGCTGGACTTGGCATAAGGCAGCTTCCTAGATTGCCACACAATTAGATAAGTCATATTAACCAGCCTGTAACTTGTGCTAACTGTTACATTATGGATTTGGAATACCGAAGCTTTTTATGATGAGGTCACTCCCTGTCTCCATTCCCAATAGTCCTATTTATCTAAATAATCCATACATCAGAGAAATTAATTACTTGTCTCTTCCCTTTAAGGAACCCTTGTACATATATGTTGCATTGGCAGGGAATAAACAAGATACTCACTACAGATCATATTGATTCCGCATTTAAATATTATCAGAAGGAATAGATCTTGTTCAACTCGCAACTCACTTCACTAACATGTCTATGGACTTTGGCCAAGCTGCAAATGCATGAGATTCCGTAGCCACCATTCTTGCAAAGCAAACAAACGAAACCCCACGGTTTACCCCAGCAGTCAAGTATGTCATTTGGAAACACTGGCATATACTTTCCCCTAAGATGATGGTGTCGTAGTATAAGGCTGAAACACTTTTCCGAACAAGTAGCTGTTGGAATAAATTGGCAATGTTGGATAAGATCAATGCAAATGCACCCCAGGAGTCCCCTCCGGACAGTTTCTTTTCTCAGCCACCAGGTGGTATCCTTGGATTTCCAACACTGGACTTCCTGCTATGGCAATGCCAGGAACTGCAGCCTAACAACAACAATGCTGCCAGCCTTCACCTGGCCCTCCAGATGTGTTAGATGATTACAGTTCCCATCACCCCCATGGGCACACACATATAGCTCTGGAAACAAATCTGCTGTTTCCTTGCTAAAGTAGACTCTTTTTCATCTGCTGAATGGGAGATATTTTAAGTCCATATGAGATCACAAGAAGGTAAGCTTGGGTGGATACAAAAACAGGATTGTGTAAAAAAACAAGGCAGCTGAATAGGGTCATAAAGAAATTTGCAGAAATTCAAGCAAAGGCAATTTTTTTATTAGGGTCAACCAAAAAGTCACAAAATAAAGGGCAATCCTTTAAGATTCCCAAAGCTCTTCATCAGGCTGAATGTTACTGTAATGACAACAAAAAGGGATGGGGGTTTCATACTAAAGCTATAAAGTTAACATTGATCAAGATGACTTAGCAGGATTTTAGGCTCTTCTAGATACTATTATGGATGAAGAGATAATGGAACAAAAAGACATACAGGGACTACTGAGCCAAAATGTGATTTGGTTTTGGTTTAATGCAATGTATCAACCCAACTAATGGCTGATTCCCAATTTCTGAGGATATTAAACTCACCAAGAGAACCTAATCCAGTTAAGGATGTTTCCAGAGTGAAGGCTCCTGATATACCAATCAAAACAGATTGTATAGCTATTTGGTCATTTTTTTCCCTAATGGATTTCTTGTGGCAAAGAGAGAATAACAGAAAGAAGCCATATGAAATCACAGCTGTGCTACAGATTTTAAATATTTGCTCTCCCCCTCCCCCACCCCATCCCACAGCAAAATTCCATCAATTATACAATAAAAGTCTCGCCTAGAAATACCCTAAAAGCAGGTTACTACATTATGCTAAACCACTAATTACTTTTTGTGCAAACCCATCCATTCTGGTTTGTAAACCGCAATTTATGATTTAGCATATTTGACTCTAACCATTGCGGTTTATTCCATGAACCATGGTTCAAACTATGGCTTAATGTGATGTGTTGTATTGGTTCTTAACATGCCCTCTTAACCAAGCCATGGAGCATTTCTCCCAGCACATGCTACATTAGTATATATTCCCCAGGTAGTTGTTACAATCTTTCCTTCCAGAAAGGAGTGGAGTTAACAGGCTACTCAGCCCTTTGATGTGTAGATATACATATATACACACAACCTCTGCAATCTTAGGTAAAGGTCCTACAGGATCCTAGAGGCAGCAAATCAGAAGTAGGTGCCACAATTTCATTACTGCATGAATTGGTTTAAGACATGGTTTTATTTCTTCCCCCTGTATTTCAATCCCACTGCATAGTTGGATCCTATCTTTTGTGTTGGATACGTATATTTGTCAAGCTGTCTATTTAGTCACAGACATTCACAAGACATCCAGTGAGGGTCAAGAGATTTATTGGACTTCTCATCCATTTGGGAAATTTACATCCAGTGAAGAGACAAATGTTTATGCTTCCCTCATACCCTGCCCAAGATCACATAAAAAACTGCTTTTCTGAAATAATTCTTAAATACTTTTATTAGAAACAATTACCCCAGCCAATCCCCCCAACCCCCTTTGGTCTCCATTAGCAGAAAGTTTTACTAACCAGGGAATTCTGAGCATTCTGCAAAGGGCAGGGAAATAAATAAATGCACTGTGGGGAAAAAAAAAAGAGAGAGAGAGAGAGAGGCCTTTTCATCTACTACCACTCATGGGGGTCAGATTTGGGGATGGTGGTGGAGAGGCCTGAGGAGTTCCCCTGTGGGCAGGAACAAACACATTCTTGGTGGCTAGTTAATGGGCTGCCCTGATAGCTACACAGAAGCAAAATGTTAGTTGTCAGAATCAAAGGTGGAGGAAGGCCAATTGCTGGTGTAAAGATGTCACCGCAGCATAATATCCTCAAGAGAGGCTTAAATTGGGGGATCTGGGACCTGGTTTTTACATGTGGCAATTCCAACACAAATTTCACTTACATGTGGGAAATGCTGGGTATACTTGAAAACTTACCACTCCTCAAAAAAACAATTATTAGTGAACCAAAAACCCATTAGATATTTTTGACCCAGAGAAAGAGAGAGAGAGAGAGATTGAGAAACTAATGCTTTTCCAGGATAGAAGATTTCCAGTATAGCTGAAAGCCTTTTAATAGTGAGTTGCATTAGATAGGATGAGCAACCAGTTTTATTTTTCTGCATGTAAACATAGCACTTCACTAGTTTTTTCAGATGCATATGTGCATATAGAACAATAGTTTTGTAAATGATTGTCAGATAGAATTGAGTTCATCTCAGGCATACTCTGTAGAAGCATGATTGATTCGTAATACATAAAATTGTCATAGAGGTGGCATTCCACATTGCCTTGGCAAAGAAAGATTCATATTTATCAAGCCAATGCAAAGAAGAAAGGATTGGCAGAGTGAAAAAGCAATTCTTCTCTGCAAATGACCTTGTTCTTACATAAGCACAAATATCAGATCCTCTGCCCTGTACCCATCATTGGGATGCCAAAAGAACAGAAAGTTAGGCTCCCAGAAAACATCTGCCCTCCTGTACCTTCAGAAAGCAACGAAAGACTTTGGAAAAGCAAACAATCCATTTCTCCTCCCCAACTCTCAATGTGTCCTTCCACAAGCAGAGAATTCCCAGTTCTGTTTTCTAATTGTGTTCCTCTTGGCAATTTTTAAAGACCAGTTGACATGGGTGAAATGGTTAAATAATATTATTACAATAACCACCCTTTGTGAATCCAGCTAGGGTTGGCTACTTAAAGCAGGCTGATAATGGGTACTTTTTACTCCCCCATGCCACCCTGTACTCTTCCTTCTTTCAGTGCATGTTTATAGATGGAGTGATTCTTTAATTTGCATTAGTGAATGCAGAAGACAAACAGAGGGGTTCCATCACTGTGGGCCAGTGATCTACTGATCCAGAGAAGATGACATGATTTCCTATAAACCTTCCCTCTCTGTTGCCCATTCCCTTACCATAATTGATGTGCCCTTCTTCATTCCTGTGCTTATTGCTCCCAGATTCAGATAGACTTTCAGCTGGAAATAAGCATTTCTGTCCTCGTTCTGACAAGGGCAAGAATCCTAGGAGTGTCTCCTATATAGCTACTTTGGCCACAAAGGAGCAGTGCCAGGAAGGGTACAGTTCCTAAAAGGAGGCTTTTTGGAGGAAAAGTCTCACAACACCACCCTCAGCCTCTCCCTGGAACCTCCTTGCAGATACACTCACACAGTACTTCCTCCATCTGCACATAGAGTTGCAGAATTTTCCAGCCACCTCATTCATTCATCCTAGGTTTCAGGACCTCCATCTGGCTCACTCTCCTTTTTGCATCAGAGGCTCTTGAACCAAAATAGCAGCATATGGCCCTGTTACTCGGCACTTCCTTCTGTAGCCAAAAGCACAAAGAAGGCCCCTTGGAAACAAAAATCAAAGCCTTCCTTCCACCCTTGGTGTAGGTGATGGGAAGCCAGCAGTCCCACCTTCCCCCCACAATCAGGGTTCCGGCTGCCAAGCAGTCCCTCCCAAGAGCCACTGGAGGCAACTGGGTTTCCCCCCATTTCAGCGGCAATGGAAAGCATTAACTCAGCTCTCAAACTGCATTGTGGCCAACTGGTGGAAGCTATCTGAAGCTAGGAACATTTGGCCCAGACGGTAAAGCAGGACAGAGTACCAGTGCACACCTTCTGGCTGGGTCCACTCACGCCCTGCCCAGTAGTGATACAGTCGCAGGGGCCAGAAAGCCAACTGGGCCAAGTGGTGGTCCTGCACCAGAGCAAAACAAGAGGCCACCACTTCATCCACCACTAGAGTCCCGTGGCTGGTGAGGGGAGCATAGGTGCCAACATCCACCTGCAAGGAGACGGCCGCTACCCTGGCTGGCTGCAGCTGACCCCCCTCGGTTACCAGCACGTATTGGCCTGGCTGGACCAGGCTGGCAAAAATAGCCTTCATGGGTGCAGTTGCATTCTCCCCCACAAAAAGGAGGTGTGCTGCTGTGAGGGCCAAGCGGCGGGTCGGGTCCTGTGTCTCAATGACGTGGAAAGCAGTTCGTGCTGAGAGTGCCTTATCCAGAAATGCCAGGAACTCACTGTATACGAGGTGGCCTTGCACATCCATGGCTTGGACCCGCTGCCCGGGCCTCAGGGCCCACAATGGAATCTTGGTCCCACTTTCTAGAGTTGCCAGGGCCCGGGCTGGAAAACAGCCTCCCGTCTTTGCTGCTGCTGAATGCTCTGAACAAAAAGAGAGAAAGAGTGCAGTCTGGTTACTAGAAAGAGGGGAACTCAAAGGCAGGCATAAAGATTCATGGGAGATGCAGTGGGGTGGGAGGAACCATGTGAGTTCTCAGAGTCTCCTGACTCTCATATAAAATGAATGAATGAATGAATGAATGAATGAATGAATGAATGAATGAATGAAT